GGGGGGGGGACCCAGCCAGCCCCTTTCATGTTTACTGTTGTCAAAAGGGTTTTGTTTCTCTTGTTTCGATTGTTTTGTTTCCGGTTTGGCCTGTTTGTTTTTTAAGGGAAAAAACAGTTTGTAATTATTTCCTCCAAAGCTCCCATTATATATCTGTGAATAAGAAGGAAGATATTTTATAAGAGCAAGAAAATGATGTATATTTGAGGTTATCGTGAAACGAGGCGTCACGACAACGCAGGATACTGAGAAAACATAATTTAGAACGCTGGTTTTTGTGAATGTTTTGTTTTTGTTTTTCGTTTGTTTTCAAACGTGTTTGGTTTGGGTTTGCACTGCATGAACCCGGAGGGTAGGCAGGCCGGGGGCAGGCTGGGAAGCAGGGGTGGGGGGTTTTGGCAGGAGACAGGACGAGCTCCGGAGGGGCTTTGGACCCGGGGCCTGACATTAGCTGTGAACACTTAGGAGCCCGGTGCATGCGGGTCAGGGGTCTGGGGGTCCCACAGCTGGTGACGGCCCCCCAGTGGGACGCAGACTGTACATTTGCCAATAGGTTTTTTCAGACCACGGTTTTTACTGCAAATAAACCTAAGTTCTTTTCTGCAGGAGTGGCTGGCCTTTCATGCCAGGGAGGAGGGAGTGGCTGGATTCTTCTGTCAGTGTCCAGCAGAATCAGCCCCACCCGGACACTGTGAGCCCAGGATGCTGTGGCCTGGGTCAGAGGCCTTGGGGAGGCAAGAGGCTGTGGGTCTGGAATAGATCGTGATGCCAGGGCCACTGCCCGGGCGCCTCCTCCCGGCTGGCCCCGTGCCATGGGCTTCCCACGCCGTGTCCCACAGAATCCTCCCGCGGCCATCAGAGACAGTCTTCCCATTTGGGTGGGATTCAACCCTAGCCCTGCCGCCTCTCGGGTATGTCCTTCAGGCCAGCCAGTTTCTTTGTAGGTATATGTTGGAGATAAAAAATAATCTCTCCAGAGAGTGGGTCTATGGCCTTCGACAGAAAATCAGAACAGTAGGGGAGAGATTTATTTCTCCCTCATGGAGACGTAGTCCAGACAAGGTTCCAGGGACGGTTTGGTGCCCCATCCCTAAACCCAGGCCCCTCCCCTCCTCAGCATTGTGCGTCCATCCTCGCTGTGGCCTCATGCTCCAAGGTGGCTGCTGGAGCTCCTGCCATCGAGGCCACGGGCAGAGGCAGAGGCAGAGGTTGGCACAGTGCTTCCCTTTCCCCTCCTTACCCAGAGCTGAGGCACGTGGCCACTCCTGCCTGCAGTGGAGGCTCATACTCACTGCAGGACTTGAGCGGGACACATGGCCTCCCTGGAGAGTGCTGGGGTCCTGTTACTGAGGAGACAGGGGCATAGCTGACGGGGCGGGTGACCCGCCCCGGGACCTAGCTCAAGGTGGTGAGGATCAAGTGAGACTTGGAGCCTGGTACACAGCCGGCACTCAGATTTTGTTGCAAACCGGGAGGCCAGTGCCGATGTTTGAGGTGACACAGATAGAGTGTTGGAGCTCACCCAGCCCTGGTCTCCAGGACCCACAGCCCCGGAGCCTGGCTCACTGTGATGCCCCTGAGAACCCGATGGGAGGCCCGCCTTTTCTGGACCAGCCCTCTGTCAATGAGTTTCTCAGGCCCGAGGCCCCGAGAGGCCTGGCTGTCCCAACCCCACCTCCCGAGAGAGCCGGCTGCAGTTCTGAATTCTCACGCCCACGTGGGGGATGGACAGGCACAGACGCTCCCTCAGCAGCCCTGGGGTCAGCGGTCCCCGGCTGCCCCAAGCAGGGCCGAGCGAGCTGCAGAGAGCCACGGTGGCCTGAGGGGAAGTGCAGGTGGAATTGGGGGTGCTAGGGGCAGGGAAGCTTCGAGGGAGGGCCTCAAAGCACCTGCTGTGGAGCCCAGACCCAGGAAGAGTGGGAAGCCCCAGGCCTGTTCAAGGGCCCGCGCGTGGACCAGGGTGGAGGCCTGGAGGGAGGAGGAGGCTGCCGCCTGAGGTCACCCTGGGATGTAGGAAAGCTGCTGGGAGCCACGCACCCCTGGTCAGAGGGCTTGCTGCCCGCAGGGCTCTCAGGGTGCCAGGGCGCCATGTCCCTTCATCTGATGGTGTGGGCACTCCTGGGTGGGGCAGCCGCAGAGGCCGCCCTGTGGAGCTCTAGGAAAGCTCCCTGGACGAGATGGGAACCACCCACTTTCTGAGGTGAGGAGGACGCCTCTCCCACCGCTGCACCACAAACACAGGAACGCCATATAAAAAGAGAATGCAAGACTGAGCTTGGAACAAGGTGGCCTGTCCCAGAAAGGAGAGACACAAAACCAGAGCAGATACGGGAGCCTATGCCAGGGCAGCCTCGAGGATCTCAAGCCCTCTGGGGTGGAGACCAGGGATTCCAACACTCAAGACACTGGCCCCAGGGCCTCGGAGGCCAGAGCCGGAGCTGGCCTCCGGCGTAAAGCTGGGCATCTCAAGGAGCACCCCCATCGTGAAAAGGAAATTAACACACCAAATAGGACAAAGGTTTCAATCAGTTTGTTAACTTTCTAGAAGTAAAACAATGTAAAGGCATTGGTTTGCCCCAGGACAAATTAACACAGTGTAGTTAACCCTGGACTTCAAAGATGAAAAATAGAAATTCACAGTGTAGGGGTGCCTGGGTGGCTGTCGGTTGGGCATCCGACTTCGGCTCAGGACATATCTCACGGTTTGTGAGTTCAAGCCCCGCGTCGGGCTCTGCGCTGACAGCTCGGAGCCTGTAGCCTGCTTTGGATTCCGTGTCTCCCTCTCTCTCTGCCCCTCCCCTGCTCATGCTCTGTCTCTATCTTTCGATAATGAATAAATGTTTTAAAAAAAAAAAGAAAGATTCACAGTGTAGTCAAGTTAAAAGTTAATGTCATACCAGATTTTAAAGCAAACCAAACAAAAAAAGGCATCACCAGAGTTTTAAAAGGCTTGTTACCTAATGAATTAAAATTGTTTTAAAAGGCTTGTTACCTAATGAGTTAAAATTCTCATTTATTAGAAAAACATGACAGTTTTAAAGTCGTATGCTCCTTATAACATAACCTCAAAATTCATAAAGCAAAATTCACAGAAGAACAGAAAGAATGAGACAAACCCATCATCATACATGGGAAGCTCTAATACAACTTTCTCTTTCTGTCTCTAACTGAAAAGTGAAGCAGACATTGAAACAAAAACAGTAAGAGTAAAATAACCATTAGCTATTGCATATGCAGAATGTTGTGACCCCTTGGAAAGTACACATCATCTCCACGAAGATTTACCTCGTACTGGCCCATAATGCAGATCTCAAAGGATTTCAAGTCACCTTACAGACTAGTTTCTCTCGCCACAATGAGCAAGGGTAGAAATCAGTAAGGAAGTATATACAAGAAATTTCCATATGTTTGCAAATTAAGAAACGTACTTCTAAATAAAAATCGAAAAGGAAATTATAAAATCAAATTTATTCTTAAAGGATAGAAATATTTGATAGCACAACTTGTAATATACTACTGAAACGGTGGGGCGCCTGGGTGGCGCAGTCGGTTAAGCGTCCGACCTCAGCCAGGTCACGATCTCGCGG